CGCTGGGGCTGTGATTCAGTTCCCCTCCCCCAGCCCACCCCCTCTGCTTGGAGGCTGACAGTTGGAGCCGCAGCCTGCCGGAGCCCCGGAGCTGTTTTCTAAGCCGTGGAAGAGAGACCCAGGGATTTAGTCGCAGTTCCTCAGTGCCTGCTGTGTCCCGGGCCGGATGCGCGCGGACATGGAGAGTGTCAGCCTCCAGCGACCCGCCTGGAAATGGCAAGTACTGAGTTTGTTTTTGCTCTGCGGCTGGGGCTGGGTCTCCGGGCAGATCCACTACTCGGTGGTTGAGGAGTCAGAGTTGGGAACCGTGGTGGGGAACGTGGCCCGGGACCTGGGCTTGAAGGTGGAGGAGCTGCCGGGTCGCAGGCTGCGCCTGGGCTCAGAGGAGAGCTTGCGCTACTTCGCCGTGCGCCTGGACAGCGGCACGCTGGTGGTGAGCCAGCGGCTGGACCGCGAGCGTCTGTGCGGAGCAGCTGCCAGCTGCGTGCTGTCGGTGCAGGTGGTGACAGAGAACCCCCTGCAGCTCTTCCGCCTGGAAGTGGAGATCCTGGATCTGAATGACAACTCTCCGAGCTTCCCCACCGCTCACCGCACCCTGCGCATCGCCGAGTCTGCCACGGTGGCCGCGCGCTTCCCCCTGGAGAGCGCGCAGGACCCCGATGTGGGCACTAATGCTGTGAGCTCCTACTGGCTGAGCCCGAACTCCCACTTCTCCCTGGACGTCAAGCAGCAGCCGGACGGCAAACTCTTCCCGGAGCTGGTGCTGGAGCGTGCCCTGGACCGGGAAGAGCAGCCAGAAGTGCAGCTGGTGCTGACGGCTGTGGACGGGGGAAGCCCAGCACGCTCGGGCACGGCACAGATCACGGTCCAGGTCCTGGATGTCAATGACAATGCACCCGTCTTTGACCACACCACGTACAAGGTGAAAGTCCCGGAAAACACACCTGTGGGGGCTGTGCTCCTCCGGGTCAATGCGTCCGACCCCGACGAGGGTCCCAACGGGGAGACACAGTATTCCTTCGGGGTTCACACCTCCGACTCAGTGCGGAGGCTCTTTGCCCTGGATCCCCGCTCCGGCGAGGTCCGGGTGAGTGGGGCCCTGGACTTTGAGGAATCGCGTTTCTATGAGATCTACGTGCGAGCCCACGACGGAGGGGTCCCAGAGATGGAGGGCAATTGTGTGCTGCAGGTGCAAGTGGAGGATGCCAATGACAACCCCCCAGAGGTGCTGCTCACATCCCTGTTGAATCCGGTGCCAGAAGACACCCCACCAGAGACTGTCGTGGGGCTCTTCAACGTACGGGACCGAGACTCGGGGGCCAATGGGGATGTGAGCCTGGAGATCTCCCCCGATGTGCCTTTTGCCATCAGGTCCCTTCAGAACCACTTCTCCCTGGTCACCCAGAAGAGCCTGGACCGAGAGTCTACCTCACAGTATGCAGTGGAGCTGATCGCCCAGGATGGTGGTTCTCCTGCCCTCACCACCACACTCACGCTGCTCCTCAATATATCTGATGTGAATGACAACCCCCCACGCTTCTCGCAGCCCTCCTACGAAGCCTTTCTCCAGGAGAACAACCCGCCTGGCTCCCTGCTGTGCACCGTCTCTGCCTCAGATCCTGACGCCGGGGATAATTCCCGGCTTGTTTACTCCATAGAGAGTGGTCAAGTGCAGGATGCCCCCATCTCTTCCTTTGTCCACATCAACCCTGACAATGGTAATCTCTATGCCCAGCGCACCTTCGACTTCGAGGTGCTGCAGGTTCTGCCGGTGTCTGTGGTGGTGAGGGACTCGGGGTCCCCTCCTCTGTATGCCAATATTACCGTCTACATCTTTGTGCTGGACCAGAACGATCATCCCCCCACCATCCTGTACCCTGCCAGTGACAGCGATGTGCCGGCACCCCAGAGGGTCCCGCTGTCTGCCCCACCGGGCTACCTGGTGGCCAAGGTGACAGCAGTGGATGCAGATGCTGGCCACAATGCCTGGCTCTCGTACCGACTGTTGCCGCAGTCCACCGACCCCTCCTTGTTCCACGTGTCGCTGTACACCGGGGAGGTGCGGACGGCGCGTGCCTTCCAGGACAGCGACATGGCAGTGCAGCAGCTCGTTGTCCAGGTGATGGACAACGGTGACCCTCCGCTCTCCACCACTGCCACCATCACTGTGGCCCTGGAGGAGGCAGCCCTGGAGGAGAGCTTCAAGCCTCAGGATTTCCTGGCTGGTGCCAAGGAGAAGCCGGACCTGACCTTCTACCTGATCATCGCGCTGGCAGCCATTAGCACGGTGGCACTGGCCACTGTC